TTTCTAATTTTAACTTTTTCTTCTTCTGTCTTTATTGTAATTTTTTTTCTTGCTTTTTTGTATTAACATTGGGAAAAAAAAACTTAAAATTATTCAATAGAGTGAAAATTAAATGAAAATAGAAAAGATGGAGAAATTTTTTGTTCTTGCAAGTTATGATTTTTGATAAATAACTATGACGTTTATTGACTCTTTTTTTTTTTTTGGTTGTGCTTTACTTTAACATTAACTATCAGTTAAGCATTTTTACTTTTTTTTTGTGCTGCTGTTTACTATTATGTTATAAACTATAACAAAACAGATTTTACCTGTAATTATCAATTCAAATTCAGTAGATCAATTTTTATTTATATAAATCTTATAGACAGTATTGTCAATGCTGTTGCCTGACAGATAATACTGCTACTATTAAAGCTGTTGTTGTTGTCTTTCAGTTATCTGTTTCTTTCATTTTTTTTTCGATGTCTTTCTTCGCGAATAAATTCAATAAAATTATAAATTAAAAAAAAACGTATTCAACGCTTTAAGTAAACCCTTCTCCGAAAAACAAAAAAAGAAATTTGATTCTTGAGTATTACTTGATCAATTAACATGATACTTTCTTTGGTCGAAGTCTTATAATCAATTGTTTTAAAAAAAAGCTTAACAATAAGCTATTGTTGTTTCATTTATACAATTGTTATAGTTGTCGAACAAACCAAAAAAAAAAAAACATCTATTTAGTCTTAGTCATGTAAAAAGCTTTTCTCTAAAAAAAAACTTTAAAAGGCTTTAGTATATAAATGGGAAGGACAATTAGATTACATTCGCAGTGCTAAATACCATTCATAATAGAAGGTTTGCCTTCAGTAAAGATTGATGTTTTTAAGGCTATCAGTATTTCAAAGCGGTTAAGCGTTTGAAGCTGATTTTTTGTTTTTGTTTCTTTCAGACTACAAAAAAAAAATTTTTATTTCAATAATTTTGTCATTTTTTTTTTTTATTTTGGTTTACCAATTTAAGGAGAAAAGCAGCAATTCAGTTAGTTTTGCATTAATAATTGTAGTCCTTTTTCTTTTTTCTCTTTTTGCTGTAATTAGATGACACTGAAGTATTAACTGTTGTTTACAGCAGTAA